AGTTATTATAGCAAAAGCTGAGGAACATGAAGCTGAAGATGCTACTAAAAATTAAAGAGGAGGTGAAAAAGCAATTTGATGTTGGACTTTTGGAAGTGACAAAATATCCTAAATGGGTAGCCAACATAATGCCAATTCATAAGAAAGATGAAAAAAAATGAGAATGTACATCGATTATTAAGACCTAAATAGGGCAAGTCCCTAGCATAACTTTTTTCTACCCCATATCGATGCTTTAGTGGATAATATTGCTAGGCATTCCATATTTACCTTTATGGATGGCTTATCAGGCTACAATTAAATCAAGATGGCCTAAGATGATATGGAGAAAACCACATTTGTGACCATGTGGGGGACATTATACTGCAAAGTCATGCCTTTTGGGTTAAAAAATACTGGTGTTACTTATCTAAGAGCAATGGTAACTCTTTTTCATGACATGATACATAAATAGATAGAAGTGTATATCGATGATATGATTGCAAAATCTCATGAAGGAGAGGATCATGTGGCCAATCTCAAAAAGCTATTTGATAGGTTAAGAAGATTTCAGCTAAAGTTGAATCTTGCTAAAGGTACATTTGATGCCAAATTAGGAAAACTATTGGGCTTCATGGTTAGTGAAAAAGGAATCAAGGTGGACTCAGATAAGATACAAGCCATAAAGAACTTATCTCCTCCTCATACCCTAAAAAAAGTGTGAGGCTTTTTAGGAAGATTGAACTACATTGCTCGTTTCATCTCTCAACTCACCTATAAGTGCAATCCTATTTTCAAGCTTCATAGAAAACACGATCCACGAGAATGAAATGATGAATGCCAAGAAGCTTTTGATAAAGTCAAAGAATACTTTTCAAATCCACCTATGTTAGTGTTGCCAATTCTCGAAAAGCCTTTGATTTTGTACTTAATAGTACATAAAAAATCAATGGGATGTGTGATGGGGCAAAGAGATAAAACTAATAGAAAAGAATGGGCAATTTACTACTTGAGCAAGAAGTTCACTGGTTATGAGTTCAAGTATTCACCATTAGAGAAGATATGTTGTACATTGGCCTGGACAGCTTGAAAGCTTAGACAATACCTACTTTATCACACTACTTAGCTCATAGCAAAGTTAGATCCCATTAAGTATATCTTTGAAAAGCCCTTATTGACAAGAAGAATAGTGCAGTGGTAAGTTATACTTTTAGAATATGATATTATTTATGTGACTTAAAAGGCTATAAAAGGAAATGCAATAGTTGAATTTTTTGTTGATCGCACTGCCAAAAATTATGAACCAATGAACCTGAATTTTCTTGATCAAGATGTGATGGCCATTGAAAAATGAACTTGTTGAGGAGTCCTGAAGAATGTATTTTGATGGAGCCATTAATGCTTCAGGCCATGGTATTAGAGCAATTTCAATATCTTCTGATGAGCATTATTATCCCATCACGACCAAGTTGAATTTCAATTTGCACAAATAATGTGGCTGAATACGAGGCCTATGTTATGGGCTACAAGTAGCAATTGAAAAAAAGATCAAAGTGTTGGATGTGTTTGGAGATTCAGCTTTGGTCATCTATTAGTTATGAGGTAAATAGGAAACAAGAGATTAGAAGTTGATTTGGTGCCATAAACACATCTCTAAGTTGCTCAAACAATTTGAAAAAGTTCAGTTTGAACATCTGCCTAGAGAGGAGAACTAAATTATTGATGCACTAGTTCTCTAACTGCAATGATCAAAATAGATGCAAATATCGAGATCCAACCCATCAACCTAAATGTGAAAGATGTAGCAGCATATTGCTCAAGTGTTGAAAAGGAAGTTGATAGGACCTTATGCAATACATCAAAAGTCAGTAATACTAGAACATGCAACAAAAAATGATAAAAAGACTATTAGAAAGTTGGCTATGAGTTTTTTTCTTGATAGAGATGTCCTTTATAGAAGGCATCAAGATCAAGTACTCTTAAGATATGTGAATGTAGCTGAAGTAAAAAAGATTATTGATGAAGTACATGATGGGGTTTGTGAGGCACATGTGAATGGTCATATGATGGCTAGACAAATTATGAGGGTCGATTATTATTGGTTGATAATAGAGAGTGACTGTTATTAATTATGCTAAAAGACGCCATAAATGTCAGATCTATGTTGATAATATCCATGCTCTTTCATCGGCATTGCACATTTTGGCTCTTTTATTGCCATTCTTTATATGGGGCATGGATGTTATTGGTCCCATCACTCTAAAAGCTTCGAATGGGCATAGATTCATTTTTGTAATGATTATTATTTCACGAAATGGGTAGGAAACTGCATCATATGCTAGTGTGACCCGATCTATGATATGTAAGTTCATAAAAAAGAGATAATATGCAGATATAGGCTCGTATTGATGATTATTTTTTATAATGCCAAGAACTTAAATAGCAAAATGATGAATGAAGTGTGCACTCAATTCAAGATCCATCATCGTAATTTTGCACCATATTGTTCGAAGATGAATAAGGCAGTTGAGGCTGTAAACAAGAATATCAAAAGAATTTTAGAGAAAATGACCAATACTTACAAAGATTGGCATAAGAAATTACCTTTTACCTTCCATGCTTATAGAACATTAGTCCGAACATCTACTAGGGCCACCTAGTTCTCTTTGGTATATGGAATGGAAACTGTGCTACAAGTTAAGTGAAAATTCCCTTGTTGAGAGTCCTAATAGAGGTAGAGTTAAAGGAAGCAGAATGGGTTTAGAATCGCTATGAGCAGTTAAACTTCATTAAAGAGAAAAGATTTACAATGCTTTGTCATGGTCAATTATATTAAAAGAGGATAATGAGAGCACATGATAAGAAAATTCACCCTCATCACTTTAGGGAAAAAGATTTAGTGCTAAAAAGGATCCTTCCAAATCAACATAACAATCAAAGAAAATGGACACCAAATTGGGAGGGCCTGTATGTGGTGAAAAAGGCTTTTTTTTGGTGGGGTGTTGATTTTAATAGAAATGGATGGAGGTGATTTACCTACTCCGATAAATTTAAATGCTAAAGAAATATTTTGCTTGAAAAAAGAACAAAAAAAAGAAAAAAAAAAGAGAAAAAAATGATATATCTAAGCTGAAAACCTAAAAAAGGTAGCTTGGATGTGAAAGAGAAGCATCATTAAGAGAAAACCTTACAATACATGGGCAAGTATAGTTTGATGAACTCTGAAGAATTGAAGAAGTCATCTGATTCAGTTTTGGAAAAAAAAATCTATGAATATTTTTGTTCATGACTATATTATGATCATTATTTGGTTACCTTTATTTCGACCCAAGTATTTTTGTGGCCATGCACATATTATCAGTCTAATGAAATATGCTTTTTTCTTTGGAAATAATGCCTATCCATTCTTTTACCTCATTTGATATCTTTGTTCACCTTACAAATAAATAGGAGAAATGTGTGATTGCATTTTGTTTATCTTGAACTTAAAATGACAAAAAAAAAACACAAAAAAATGAAAGATTTCAGTATCACTTTCTAAAAGTTGACAAAGACATATGAAAAAGGACAAGAAAAGCATGACAAAACATTAATGTTGCAGTTTTCTGGAAAAAAAAATTGTTGGGAAAGAATACAACAGTTAGATGTTGAGAATAGATTAATCATATGGCAATTGCTAAGAATTTTGATAAAAGAAACAAAAAGTCAAGCAATTTTGAAGAGCTTTTTTACCACAATTGGAAATAAATAATTTTGATTGCATCGTATGCATTGCACCTAGAGCATTCCATACATGCATTCATGAATGATTATAACAAGGGCAAAGATTTTTCACTCCCTGATGAAAAAATAGAATTTTGGTCTTTGGATAAGGATAATGTTCAAAGAAAAGGCTCTAAAGAAAAAAAAAAGAGAGAGAAATTTACTTTTTCAAAGATAACATCTTGGCTTCAAGAAAAGAGAATTTTTAAGGTTGTTGA